TATATATATATATATATATATATATGGATGGATAAATAGATATTTGAGGTTGTAGAGAAAGTAGTTTCTATTTCTGTTTTTAACAGGCAACGTATCGATCATTTCTAGAACTCAGTTGCTGTCGGAAGCTGTGACGCAAATCTTCCTAACGATAGGTTTATATCGATTGTATTTGCTGCTGATCTACGTAGGGCGTAAAAAGATGGCGGAAACGCCAGCGTTGAAGCTACAAGTTGGCCCCTGTTGCTGCTGGCTCTGTCTGCCCTTTCCGAATCTTCGGATGACCGAGGCTAATTTGTCCTGGCTTCGACTAGCGGTCTTGCAACTTCCCATTATCCAGGTTATATTTCGTCTTTTTTCTACCGCGACCTTTTGCCACCTTTCTTCCAGCCTTCTTTTCAAGCATTTCTTCTCTCTCTCTCTCTCTCTCTCTCTCTCTCTCTCGTCTTTCCAAATTCCAGCATTGACGATGATCGTGTCTGTTCCAGGGATTGATTTACTGCATATTCCTCTCCATGTCGATGGAAGAGCCAAGCCTTATAACGCATTATGGAATTTATCTGCAACCGTTCGTAATGACGAGCATATTTCTGGGAGTGTACGGATTGACCGTTGCCGTAAAGAGTCTGGAAGAAATCGCTGCAGGTAAAAATTGCGCGTGCTTTATCGAGAGGGGAAGGGTTGTTGTACTGTTTGCTCTCCGCTGGACGAAACTGAATTTTATATATACGGGAGGGAGAGATTGTAAGACATCTGTTTGATCATCGCAGTACGAAAGAAAGGAGGAGAACTCTCGAGTCGTAAACCGATCAAAAGATCAAACGATTCTTTCGATTCGATCGTAAACGATCTTATACGAGGGACGACGCATTAACCTGCGGGATTATGGCGAAAGTGAAATTAGAAACGGAACGGTTCGTTTCTTTCAACGTCTTAACGATATTATAGGGCGAAAGGCATGCAACTTGCGAACGGAAGAAGCAATTTCTTTCCAAGCTTCTGGAAAGAGTCCCATTGTCCCTTGTTGCCCATAGCGTTAACCTAGCGTTAACCGTTGTTATACCTACGCTTCTTTCTGACCTGCTGCTGCTGCTGCTGCTTGATTTTATAGAGGCGAAGCTACACCGCAAGGCCACAGTGTCCCAGATGGTGCTGCTATTCTCGAAGCTGCAGGCCTTCATCGTCAAAAATCTACCGCAAACAGGCCTGTTCCCGTGCAATCCGCCAATTACGCCGGAAATTTATGCCAACGGTAATTCCTCTTCTCCTTTTCTTTTCTCTTTCCGTACCCGTTCAATTCGAGAGTTCAACCATAGGAAATATCCGTTGCGATCCGTTTTGAATCTTTTCTTGCGAGTCG